GCTTGCCTTCGTGTCTGGGCCACGTCTACCTGCTTTGAACTGTCATCGGTACGTGGAACAGTGCCTAGAGCCTCACTTGATGCCCTATGCACTCTTTATCGGCAACGGGTTCACATTTATGCACGATAACGCCAGAGCCCACACCGCGAGCGTCGTACGTGATTACCTTACCGAAGTCGGTACCTCCATAATAGAATGGCCAGCAAGGAGCCCGGACATGAATCCAATTGAACATCTCTGGGATCAACTAAAGAGGCAAATCCGAGCGAGAAATCCTGCCCCAGACTCACTTGACCAGCTGAAAAGTGCCATTCAGGAAGAATGGGACAACATCCCACAACATGTCATCGTAACTCTAATCCGATCGATGAAAAACCGGATGGAAGCGGTGATAAGAGCTGGAGGAGGGAACACTAGTTATTAAACGTTATTTAATAAAAGTTTTTCAGTTTTTTTCACCTACGTGTGTTGTTTCATTCATTGCCTTCGTTCTCCATACAAAATAAAAATGACTCAGTAAAGAAAACATGTAACCTATGAAAATTTAATTTGAATTTAGAACAATAACATTAGAATTCGAAAACCTTATAAAACTCAGTATTAAGGGACATTTGAAATTTATTCGTAAATAATAAAAAAACTGATAATCCTTACAAAACATAAACTTGCAGTGTTTCGATTTTTTTGATGAGAAGTATTTTTTATCAAACTTATCAAGCGTTATCAGTTTATCATCGCCTTAGTATCGATACTACCCCGAACAAAATTAAACAAGAGATGGTCGCCAGCATCTTCCCAATAACAACTCAATATAATAAAAAATGCGGTTTTGTTTATAAAACTAACGCCACAACTGAACTTACAGTCCACCTGATATAAGGAGGTACTGCAACCAACGTCAAACAAAGCTTGAGATGCATTGTCACCTTTGAGTACCAAGTTGGAATGCCTCACAGCCTGTAATTATTAGAAATGGGCCGAATGTTCGTTTCATATTCGGCAGCTTTACCGAATATTTGTATTCGGCCGAATATTAGACAAAATCACCGAATATTCACTAAAGTGGTACTCAAAGTGTCCACTGTATTGAAATGTACGAATTGAGTAATGTCTGTCTGAATGTTTGTCCATGTCTTTCATAATTTTACTGTAGAAAGGGTTAAATCTACATGTATAGTATATTTGTTATGTTTTTGAGGCACTGTCGATTTATTTCCAATTATAGCAAATAGAAAGATTGACAAAATGTTTTTTGGAATCAAACAAAAAACATTACATTACATAGGCTGCACTAAAAGTATCGGGAATGGAATATTTCCGCTGTTCCTGTCATATTAAAATCTTTTTAATTGAAAACTCCTTGGTTTTAAAAATCGAATACCATTTATTTATTTAAAAAAAGATTCTCGGTCTTGTCACAAGGTGTTGTCAAACTTGTTTAGTCGTTGAGAAAATGGAATTGACTCAAGAAAATTTAAGAGCGATGATTTATTATGACTTTCGAAGTGGTTTAACACAAAAACAGTGTGTTGACCGGATGATTTCTGCATTTGGTGATGAAACCCCATCCAAAACCACAATTTATCTCTGGTTTGCTGAATTTCAACGTGGACGTGTCAAGCTCAGTGATGATCCCCGTCTAAGTCGTCCAAAAACTGCAGTCAAAGCCAAGAAAACGTTGATGCTGTGCGTAAGCTGATTGAGGAAGATCGACATGTGACATACCGCGAAATTCAGGCAACTTTAGACATTGGCATGAGTCAAATACAAATAATCTTGCATGAACAATTAGGTGTAAAAAGTTGTTTTCCCGATGGATACCGCATTCGCTCTGTGAAGAGCAAAAAGCGGCTTGCGTTACTTGGTGCGTCAGAACTCTCGAAAGATTCCACGCAAGATCCTCAAATGCTGTATACAACATCGTATCAGGTGACGAATCCTTGATATACGCGTAGGAACCCGAAACAAAAAACCAGTCACGAGTTTGGGTGTTCGAAAATGAGGCGAACAAAAATTGTTCGTTCACGAGTGTTGCAAAAAAAATGGTGGCCACGTTTGTCTCCAAAACCGGCCATGTTACGACTATTCCTTTTGAGGGACAAAGAACAGTCAATGCAGAATGATATGCTAGAATTTGTTTGCCACAGGTCGTTTCTGAACTCCGTAAAGAGAACTGCAACCGCCGCATCATCCTCCATCACGACAATGCGAGTTCTCACACCGCACACAGAACAAAAGAGTTTTTAGAGCAAAAAAACATAGAATTATTAGACCATCCGCCGTACAGCCCCGACCTAAGCCCTAATGATTTCTATACTTTCCCCAAAATAAAAAATAAATTGCGTGGACAGAGATTTTCATCACCTGAAGAAGCTGTAGACGCCTACAAAACGGCCATTTTAGAGACCCCAACTTCGTATCGTAATCGTATGGAAAAATGTGTCAAATTTCCCGGGTAATACTTCGAAAAGCAATAAATACATTTTTAAATAGTAATGTTGTGTCACTTCCTTGATTCCCGAAATTTTCAGTATCGCCCTCGTATATTAGTATATTTCATTTTACTTTGGTCTCCAGTTTGTCTAAAATAAGTCCAAATAGTAGATTTCCTGCCACTCACTTTTATCATATAATTATCAATTTTTACTAAGAACAACGCAATAATTTTTTCTCATAAAAATAGTGAAAACATAAGCATGTGACGGCGATTTGATCAGTACTAGACGATGAGCGAGGGACAAGGACTGCGCTAATAATAAACCGCGTGGTTTAGGGTTACAAGTTTCAACATAATGGCTAAGGTACCAATGGAATGGAATCCAGATATTAATCTGCATTCTACAACAGCGCCACCTACCGGGTCCAACTTTGCCTATAACCTTCGGAGAATTGCAAACAATATGTTGACAAAGTTTTACAGCAATCTAATGAACGGTATAGCTGCGTATAAAGTTCGAACAAACGAAAATAAAGTTTTATATATTAGATTTTATTTAGGGTTACATCGACACTTATATAAAGGCCCAGCAAATCAGGCTGATAACAGGTTACTTAATAGAATAGAATAGAATAATTTTTATTCAATATAGATTATTACGTAATTCTTGTTGAAAGTATTGTTTTTATTTATTACTAATTTACCAATAAGTTATAAATAAAACTTACCCCAGAGAAGCTCTTTTGATGCCTGTTGCAGTGCTTTGTATCAAAAGTCGCGCGGGTGGTGTCGGTAGTGCGCCACTTGCCCGCCAACTATCCAAGATAAAGTAAATTGCAATTCATTACACCGCTAACGCTAAAGAAAACTTTAAAAATGTAGAGGAACATATCCGACTAACTTAGTCGAACACTCGTGATGTCTTGATTTAGAAACCGATTAGGCTACATGTTAAATAAATTGTAGAGATTTCTTATATTTACGCGAACACTACACAGTTAAATAATACTAGTTTTTACGGATTTTATCGTGTATATTTAGTTAGTCTCCCCCGTGACCATGGGTGCTGTAATGTGCTCGAAACGTCGGGTATTCAAAAAGTTAAATATACGCAATAAAATCCGTAAAAACTAGTATTATTTAAAAGTGTAGAAAACCGGAGACCCTTTTTACTGTAAAACGAGGTCTATCTTTGCCCTCAGGGGTGACAACGCATTTGCATTTTGATTCTGAGTTAAAAGTAGACGAAGATGTCTTAGAGCATTCACTTACCATCAGGTTGATTTTTTACTCGTTTCTCACCCTTATTCTATAAAAAGGAGCAAAAACTTAGAATCCTAGTTAGGGTGGAAACATAGTGTCCATACACTACATAAAGTAGTGTGTGTAACATAATGTCGTAATTTTACACCACCCACTCCACTTAGACTATGCCTATAGCAAGCACCAACCAGTCAATGGTGATACATTTTTATAATCAAAAGTAGATCCCATGTACACAAACGGGTATCAAGTGGAACAACTTATTTTCTGTCTGTAAGTCCGTCTTACTATTCACCACCCTCTTATTTATTTCTGTCGCTAAAGAATATAGAGATCCATTATGATTACATACTGTGAGGAATTCCATCTTAGTGCTCAGAGGTGACAACGTATTTGTGTATTTGTTTGAAGTTGGCTGCAGTGGCCTCTTACTAGCATGTGAATTGTAAGTTCGTTTTTGACTTGTTTTATAAAAAATACACAAAATGAGTCTACCTCTGCATTAAGTGATATACAAAAATGAACGATTCTAAATGAGCGACATAGTGTGTTAATATATTCAGAAAAAGTTCACTTAGAGCACACATAAAAATAAATTAAACCAAATTATAATAATAATAAAGAACAATAATGTAGAAAAAAGGTCTCCACTGTCATTAGTTACACACTGATTTTCAATGGAACCTGGTGCTCGTGGAGCCAGGTCAAAGTAATCTAAAAATATATATGTACTGTACGTACATCCATCCAACACAGCTTATTAAAGTCCACTATTGAACTTTGGCCTCCCCCATAGATTGCCTCATAGGGGGATTTACCTATAGTTGACATTCTTGGCGAGCGTGTTGCCAACTGCAGTTTTTTATTATTTTGAGTCGTTATCAGGAACATGCTGACCTGTTTTAATTTCCCTCTGCCGCCTCTTACGACAGCCACGGCATGATATGGGGTAGTGGATATTCTAACACCGTCACTACGGAATTCCTGTAGTGCAATGACTATGGAAATTGGACACTAACCAAATCAATCTAGAACAAAGGGTCCTGCTTTACATCGACTTACACTGTTTTGAATGTGAAAGACTTAGCGGTCAGCCGCCGTAGAGTCTACATCTCCTGAAGATGCCTCGTGTAGAGGCGAAACACGTGTCGTATTATCGTCGATGGTGTGTCTTTCCTGGAATAGTGGTGCTGGGAATAGTGGTGACGGAGTTAGTGCATGCAATTGAGGGAGGGCGGGAGGTGCTCTTCAATCCAGGTAAGACACATCATTGTATTTAATTAATGCGGATGGTTGCGAATTAGATATTAATCTTTATTAAATAACTTCTTCTTAATACTTGCCTTGGTAATCCGTCCCCTGCTTTTCTGTAAAACTGTGATCTCTTGAATTCACCACCGCTGTTTGTATAGCTGTTAATTCTTTCGCTTTGAATGTTGTATTTCCGTACGCTGGGAGATCTCGAGAACCCTCTCGACTTTATTTTAGTGTCGCTTAGATCTGTATTGGAATGTTCGTTGATTCTCGGTAACCTAGAACTTAATGTACAGTCCCCACTATCGTACACTGCAATTGACTTCTTTGATACATAATGCGATAGACTCCCTCTTCTTGGACTTTGATTCGTTTGATATTTCTTTGGTTCGTTACACGTTTTCTGTTTTTCTACAACCTTCCCTTCGTCTAAATTTGGTCTCGAAACTTCTCTCGTATTCTCACTAATTAGAGATTTCTTAACTACAGTTCCGTTAGGTCTGGGTCCAACCATGCATAGTTTCGGGTCAGGCGGTTTGAGAGGCACTGTTGACATTCTCCTATTTGGACTTTTAGAAGCCCGTGAAGGCGATGGAGTGGTGATAAATCTTCTGTTACTGGTGGTAGCCTCTTGTTCAGTCTTAGCTCTGTACTCTGGAGGCGTTACTGGTGCAGGCTCGACTGTGTTTGTGGACCAGAGCATGTCGGTGCCGGCGACTGCGTGCATTTGGTGCAAGTGGGTCTTTATATTGTATATGCCCGCTATCGGACCAAAAGGGTCAGCTTTTATTTGTGTGATTACGTCAATTTTCGTTTGACCGCAGAGCTCGGATACTTGATTGTATATCTGGAAGCAATTATTGTATGGTTAAGTGCGAAAATGAATACTGAGAATTGATTGATGAAGGTATTTCAATGTTTTAATACTTTATGAAAAACAACTTCAAATAAATTGTGATTATGATTATGAACAATTGCTTATTAAATCTTTGGGAAAAGGGGAATTAAAGAAATCAAATAATAATGACACAATATTTAAGTGGCAAAGCCATGGTGCAGCCATATTATGGTTGTAGCACAAATGGGTCAACTCGACCGGTGAAGGACCACGCTCTCACAAAATACCAGCGTAAAATAGCAGCTCAATGCTGCTGTGTTTCGTATTGTGAGCGTAGAAATCCGGATACCCATTTTGCTGGAAACGAGGCGTTCCATCTCATTCACATGTGGTAACGCATCTATATTTTGATTCTTAATTGAGGATAGATGTAGATGTTTACAGGCCAGAGCTCGTTTGTCAACCTTACTATAAAAAAACGTAGTTTGCTACCCTACAGGTAAAAAATGTTACCCACTTTTTGAGGTCCGCTACAATAGGGTAAAACAGGGAAAATGTTTCATTTACCTCGCGATTGACTTTGGCCTCTGGAGCGGCAAGAGGATGTGTTTTCATCCTCATTCCAGGTTTTCTTATCCAGCGGTGCCTTGCGGCTTCCTCTATCTTCATTCCTCAGTTCTACGTTGGGTTCAAGCAGATGCTGAATAAACGTCTTACATTCTGTAAGCAATATAACAGCTAAGATTATATATGACAATATATGTGAGTCATTTTGCTTTACGTGAAACGCGAGCTGGGCGCGGTGCGCGTACGTACGTGTGCGTGTTATTAAAAAATAACAATTCACTCTAAATTTATACATGCTCTATCTCTTTCTTTTTTCTTTCAATTTCACATTCATAACGGAAAAAAATTCTTTCCGTAAAACTTCTTGTTCTAGACTTGCAATCACGGTTAATATAAAAAGCGCGTGGAATTAGGGATATACGTCATATTGTATGAAGTTTTAATAAATAAATAAATAAAAATATAGTATTTCTCGTACTATATTATTTTTTATAATATATAGTACAAGTGTAGTACAAATATATATTATAGTGCGGGTGGCAACCCTAACAAAGGGAAATAAAGTAGGAGCAGCAGCGTCTTCCTGATGACAAGCACCAAAGTTATTTCATGCGTATGCATGTATGCATGCGTGGCAACGATGGCAATTATTCTCCTTTAAAAGGCAATTATGTGTAAACCTACATTCAGCCGTGGATTTTAATAAAAATAAAATAAATTATTTAATAAGTTGTGAAGTTTTACTTGAATGTCAAGTAGAACTTCACTAGCACACTTGAATGTCAAGTAGAACTTCACTATCACAGAAAAATAATAACAGAAGAATAATTTATTAAAAAAACATTGGTTGTCTGGAAGTAATTGCTATCAGCAGTGAAACCGTCCATTGCATACATCTTTTGTATATATAATCTATAATTGTTGTATGGTGTGCAATAAAGAATGTTAAATAAGTCGATTGTGGAGAGAATCGGTTTGTTGGTGCCCAGGTACCTGCAGAGAGATAATGGAGAAATGGTGGCTCCGCGCCGTAGGCCGCGTCTCCTGGACAGACCGGTTACACGTACCAAACGTGCTGCCTATGCACCAACAAATCGAGCATTGATACTCATAGGGGACACTCACTCAACACGATGAAATTGACATATTTGCAGACAGTATGACACGTCTGCTGACTCTTTTTTATAGAATTATCGATAATAAGACGATTAATTATTAATTCGACAATTTAATTTGCTTATTGTGTACTTTGTATTTAAGATGTAATTTTAATTATGGGCATATATTGTAATTAGCTTTTATTGACATTACATTATGAATTGATATAACAAAATATTTCATAGCCTGACATTGTATGATTGCGACCTTTTTTTTAAACATTGTATAATTATTAATATTTTATTGTATATTTATTACTATTTTAATTTCTCAACACGGGCTGCTAAAGGGTTAGAGATTTTATATCACTAATATTGTATTGTTTACTTTATGATTTAAATTATCAATTTATAATCATTAACCTTTGTTGTTGTAATTGGATGCATTTTTTTAAATATTTTTGAATGTAAAATTTTACTTTGTGTGCGTGTTGGATTTTTTGTAAGCCACAAGAGTTTTTGAATTAAATAAATAAATAATAACCTTACTGCCAGGTGGGGTTGTGATCAAGCTCTGGTTTTTAATATTAAAAAAACAGCGCCGTCCGCGAGTCATGCTGTGTATCGCACGGTTTGCATCATAGCAGGCGTTCATTGATATGTGTGAGCACTGAGGGACCACGCCGGGAATTCGCGAAATCACTTGCCAAGGATATAATGAATACTGAAATTTGTAAAAGAATATATCAAAAGTTACAGCCCTTAAAGTGTGGTCTCTAAGTTGACACAGTCTATCAGCCAGATCTCAAAAAGTATTTTCAAACGAAGTTAATGTGATTACATATTAAATAAAGACATACATAATAAACATATTTAGTATAGAATGTGTAAAGCTTATTTTACTAAACAAGAAACCAAGTGTTAAAGATAAAAGAAACAAATATATAAACTGTGGTCCCTCAGTCCACACATTTTTTTAATATACCTTATGTTACATGCCGGCATTCTGTGATAGCGTGTTCCTTTACAAGTCGACCCGATTCATTCGTGCTACAGCCATAATATAAGTAGCTGTGGCGTGGCTTTATCACGTATGAAAATATTTTATTATTTTAATCATTTTATTAAATAATATTATTTTTCTGTTACAGGTAACACACCAAATGGGCGTCTTCTGAGAGTAGTCGCGTTACGTTTTCAAAAAAGGAACTGAAAGTGTTGTTTAAAAAAATATTTTGAATACTAAACTGTGTATAAGAGTTGTTAGTGCTATTGTTATAAGTAATGTGTAAGTTAATAAGGAAAACATGTACACTGATTTTTGTAAAATAATTTTATAATGTAATGGTGTTTATTATTATTATTTTATTATCCCTAGTAATAGAATTGATCACATTTCAGGAAATAATAAAACATAAACATATAAATGTATATTTGTTTTTAGAATGAGTGTGACAAACGAGCACACAGTCCACCTGATGGTAAGTGGATGCTGTGGCCCATAGACATATACATATATCCCCATATAATCAAAATTTAGTTGCGCTGTCACCCGTGAGGACTAAGATGGAATGCATCATTTCCAGTAAAAAAGGGTCTCCGGATCTCTACACTACACCCACCACACGAAACGTAGCAGTATTAAGCTGCTATTTTACGCTGGTATTCTGTGATGGCTTTGTGTTTCCCCGGTCGGCCGACCCATTCGTGCTACAACCATATTATAGCTGTATACAAAATGCGTGTACGTATACCTTGTATATCTTGCGTATAACTTGACTCTGGCTAATACTTACCACTGGATACGCAAGCCAACGCCGTGCGTTGTTTTCTGGTGAATCCCCGAGCTATGGCGGCGCGGAGCTGCGGTCGGGACTGGCCCTCCTTCTCTGCATCAGTAAACGGTAAACTGCCAGTTACCATTCCGTACACAATCACGCCGCTGCGGAAAAAAGCAAAGTTTGTCTCTCAGTTAGTCAATATGTTTTACAAGCTGTGCCCCGTGGTTTCACCTGCGGTATATCAGACAGATATATTATGACATGACACGTCACTCACTGCTGTTTTCTCTCGGTTCTTTCTCATCGGGCGGCTAAGATAATACGTAGTCCTCGCGCCGAGCCGAGTGTCAATATATCTTAAACTATGCGTCCAAATAACATACTATGAGGAGCAACGTTTATCTTCATTACAATGGTCTTGATGATGAAGTGACTTTCATTTGTAAGGATTTATATGGCATGCCTAATAATAACGCTCATAAACCACTTATTAATTTTCAATATTTTTGTCACTAACCTTATCGTGGCTTATGTATAAGAAATAGGCATATGGTATCGCGAATTTTTTTTGACTTGATGGTGTAAGGATTTATATTTTTGTAAAACATTGTATTTACGTATCACTAACCATTTTCTTCTGCCTTGCTAAACAAAACTAGATATTTAAGGCTAGTTGAGAAGTGTAACCTAAAGCTAGATAGCCTATATTATTTCTCATGAATCGGGCTATAAAATATCAGATTTTGCTTCTCGCCGGACGATCCCAACGTTGTTGCGGATTCTGTCGCTGATGTGGTACTTCAGGGTATGGAACTTTTTATTCCTTCCTCTGTGGTGCCCATTGGAGGCAAATCTCAGCCATGGTTTGGTCGCTCCTGTAAAATAGCATCATGCTATAAGCAGGAGTGCTACCGAGCCTGGGCTGACGCATCAGCGTCCCGGGATGTAAACACCAGCGCTATAAAAAAGAAGTATAATTCCGCCTTTAGGTCCTTCAAATAAGAGTCATTGCCAAAGCAAAGTCAGAGCACATAGGCAGAATTGGAGAGAAACTAGTTCGCCTTCCTTCTGGAACCCGTGCATTCTGGTCTCTCGCCAAGGCTGTCCAGGGGAATTTCTGTCAGCCATCTCTTCCATCTCTGCACAGGGAGGACGACTCACTGGCCCATACTGCAAAGGAGAAAGTGATCTTCAGGCTCTTTCTTTGCGTCCAACTCGACTCTCGATGACGGGGGGAGTACGCCGCCGACCATCCCGCGGTGTGAGTGCTCCATGCCGGAAGTGCAGTTCACACAGCGCTCGGTTCGCGAAAGCACTCCTCTCCCTGGACATCCACAAGTCGAGTGGACCTGACGGAATCCCCCCAATTGTGCTGAGGACGTGTGCTCCAGAGTTGGCACCGGTTTTAACGCGTCTTTTCCGGTACTCCTACTCCCTAGGCGTAGTCCGAAAATCATGGAAGACGGCTTTCGTCCACCCGATCCCTAAAAAAGGCGACCGCTCAGACCCGTCCATCTACCGGCCTATCGCCATCACCTCCTTGTTCTCCAAAACAATGGAGTCCATTGTAAACTGGCAGCTCATGAGGTACCTTGAGGATCACCAGCTGATTAGTGACCGCCAATACGGTTTTCGCCGTGGTCGGTCAGCTGGTGATCTTCTGGTCTACCTAACTCATAGATGGGCGGAGGCAGTAGAGTCCAAGGGGGAGGCATTGGCCGTTAGTTTGGACATTGCGAAGGCCTTCGATCGGGTTTGGCACAAAGCGCTTCTTTCGAAGCTCCCTTCCTATGGGCTTCCCGAGAAATTGTGCGATTGGATCACCAGCTTTCTTGCAGATCGGAGCATCAAGGTCGTTGTAGACGGTGCAAGCTCCGATTGCAAGCCTATTAATGCTGGTGTTCCACAAGGATGCGTGCTATCGCCAACGCTGTTTCTTCTGCATATCAATGATATGTTGCAAACTCGTAACATTCATTGCTATGCAGATGACAGCACTGGTGATGCTCTTTACACCGGCCGAGCCAATATTTCTCGGGAAAACGTCTCCGAGTGCCGGGACAAACTTGTGTCTGAAGTCGAGTCTTTGCTGAACAGAGTCTCGGATTGGGGGCGACTAAATCTAGTCCAGTTTAAGCCCCAGAAGACACAAGTTTGCACGTTAACCGTTAAAAAGAACCCCTTTGTCGTATCTCCTCAGTTTCAAGGCACTCCTTTTGTTGCCTCAGCCAGTATCGGAATCCTCGGCGTTGACATATCGAGTGACGTACAGTTTCGTGGTCACTTGGAAGACAAGGCCAAATTGGCCTCTAAAAAGCTTGGCGTGCTCAGCAGAGCGGGACAGTATTTCATGCCGGCACACCGCCTGCAACTTTACAAGGCGCAGGTTCGGCCGCACATGGAATACTGTTCCCATCTCTGGGCTGGGGCTCCCCAGTAACAGCTCCTTCCACTTGACCGCATCCAGCGCAGAGCGGCTCGAATCGTCGACGACCGAGTGCTTTCCGATCGGCTCGATTCACTGGCACTGCGAAGAGATGTTGCATCTCTTTGCATTTTATTTCGCATATACCATGGAGAGTGCTCTGAGGAATTGTTCGGATTAATCCCAGCCGCCAAATTTTGTGAACGCACTACGCGGCAAACGTCCCGATACCATCCACACCATCTGGATGCTTGGCGGTCCACCACAGTACGTTTCAAAAGGAGTTTTCTTCCGCGTACAACCTCTCTGTGGAATAGTTTACCTCCGGCGATTTTTCCGGACCGATACGACCTGGGGACCTTCAAGAAAAGAGCTTACTCCTTTCTAAAGGGCCGGCAACGCACCTGCAATTCCCCTGGTGTTGCGGTTGATCATGGGAGGCGGTAGTCACTTAACATAAGGTGAGCCGCATGCTCGTTTGCCCCCTCTTCTATAAAAAAAATATAAAAAGAATTTTTCAAATCGGACTGGCAGTTCTGAGTATAGCGTGTTTAAAAAATAAAAAACTTTTTCGTTTCGTGATACGTATATAACGTATAAGGTTTTACTACGTCGATCGTCCAATCGTCCAACTCCAAACGTTGGCCGAAATCGATGTGGTACCACTGTAATATAGAACCCATTACCGTATATCATCTTTTCGGTCTTTTAATGATTGTTTGAACGATGATTTTGGGAAATGCCAGCAACATCTCATGATCATTAATATTCAGACGATGTGAAGCAGTGTCAAAGGTGTAAGACGTCTTGTGCGTAGTCAATCTACCTGCTAAGCGCGTTGTTTAAGGCAAACCTTCCCTATAGCGGGAATAACCATGTACAACAGTGGAGTTTTAAGGGCCGACATATAACATTTTTAAAATGACGTCGTTAGTAAGGCCGTATATTTTTTACATGTATGCAAGCTATGCTTACTGGACTTACTTAATGGAGTCGTGGTAGCTCGCTAGATGGTTAACGCTCGCTGTAAATATAACAGAACGCGAGTAACCTAGGTTCGATCCCCGCCGGCGCCAACGAAATTGTTAATTGCAATTTTAAGTGCTGATATACCACGTGCTCGGCGGTGAAGGAAAACATCGTGAGGAAAGAAATATTTCGAAGACATGTGAAGTTCGCCAACACGCATTGGGGCAGCGCGGCGGACACTTCCTTGCCCTAAAACCCTCAGAAATGAGGGGAGGCCTGTGCCCAGCAGTGGGAAGCATATAGGCTGTAACTTTACTTTACGTTTATGCTTACTAATAATATTGTTGTGTGTGTATATGTTTCGTGAGAGTTGTTCAAAATTTCTATTTACCACATTCGTCACGAGAATCTCTCTTTTCCGTCTAAGTTTTTATAGGTTACTTACATGCTCCAGAGATCCACTTCAGGTCCATATCGACGTCCGTCCACAAACAACTCCGGCGCAGCGTACTCCAGTGAGCCGCACGGTGTACGGAGAGCGCCGCTTGCATGCCACACATTAGACAGGCCGAAATCTGTTAACATTCGTACAGAGGAATTAAAACGCTTTCCTTTTCGACTTCAAATAATAATGCCCTATGCTATCTCAAAATTAGACAAGTTAATATTTCAATCCTTCAGTCGAACGTGAAAACTACTTTAGTACAAATACTTTGCATTTGTCCGCATCTGCAGGAGAGGATTAGGTACTTATAGTGCACGAGTGTGTGCGCAAGCCTAGGTGTACTCTTTGTAGTTACGATGAGACAGTTTTCTTCGATACATACGATGGGATAGTTATGATGGGACAGCAATGTGTTATCACCTCTAACCCCGTGTCTCGGAAAAAAACCCTTTACGTTCTTTCCGAGGCACGGGGGTGAAACACCGCCATTTTCTAGACCCGGAGTTTGCTAGTGAGAATTTCTTGACAGAAATATCCAATAACTGATTTTAGTCCGACTTGAACCCACGACTGAATATGATTAGAAGTCACGTTTACGACTAATAGACCAATGCGACAGAGCCTATACTGGATGATCTTTTTTGCCGTCTGGAAAAAAATAGGGTGTAACATGTGAACAGAGTGAAACACTATGGCACTGCTATTTTACAAAAAATAAAACAAAAATTTTGCATTGAATAAATTAATTCATTAAAGTAATCGAAATTCAAATCATATCCACCCCAGCCTGTGACCCTGCGAAGCAAAAATGTCAAAGATACCTAATGCTGGGGCCACACTAATGACCCGGCCACACTAAGGAGAAATGCCGTTAATTATCGCGTTGATGGACGTTGAATGTAGGTGTGGCCACGAATTAACGCGATAATTTGACAACGACATATAACAATGCCGTTTCCCGTTTGGCAATAACTCGAGTGGCGGTATATCAAAGGATTAACACGCAAATTATCGCGTTGAAGCGGTCACACTACGTCTGTCTCATTGTGCACGGTGAGTGCAACGGGGTTGCAAGTATGGCTGCGATGGAGTGGAGTATTGAAAAAGCTTTTTGAGATTGAATTAAAAAAATTACTTCCAAAGTACACTTTAATTTATGGTATGAAACTAAGATAAATAAGCAGGAGAAAAAAAAAACAATTTTTGCAGGTCGAAATTCATAGTGTACAGTGGTACGAAACCCTGGGTACGTGTATCTAATTCGCACTTGACCAGTGTTTATGATTGGCTTATTAGTTATTATTTAATTAAATTATATTTACGTTTGTCTTATTATTTAGCTTAAACCATTGGACGTCTTTCTAGTGCAATTTGGGTGCGGGAAAACAAAATAAAACATAGATTTACAGTGTACGTTTCCTGTGCATTTGTAGCATCCACCATCTTCTTTTTCTTTGTATTCTTTTTTTCTTCGTTTATTTTTTTATTTTATGTGAGGCACATCCTTTTGTATGCTGCGGCCCATATATATCTACATCTATCCTCGATTACGAATCAAAATGCAGATGTGTTGTCACCCGTGAGGACTAGGATGGAATGCCTCGTTTCCAGTAAAATGGGTATCCGGTTCTCTACACTCACCATACGAAATACAGCAGCATTAAGCTACTATTTTACGCTGGTATTCTGCGAGAGCGTGGTCCTTCCCCGGTCGAGCCGACCCATTCGTGATACAGTTATACTACTAATATAACTGCAGCATGGCTCTGCTACGAAAAGGAAATTGGCAATGATAAAATATATTCATATAAAAAAAATTACAATCATCAAATATGGAGTAGCTGCGTCAACGTTCATCTTGCTTGAAATTCAAGGAACATTTTTAAAAAAAATTAACGTCGTTCAACGGCAAATTTAATGCCGTTCAACGGCGTTGAAATTGAAACGACGTTGACCGTTCAAGTGTAGCCACTCATTTTATCGCGTTAAATTTAAGGCAATAATTATTGCGATTATGGGCATTGACGTTGCTCGTTAGTGCCGCAGCATAACGAATAATGCCGTTAATTATCGCGTTGATGGACGTGGAATATAGGTGTGGCCAAGACTTATCGCGTTACTTTGACAACGGTATTAACAAAGCCGTTTGCCGTTTGGCGATAACTCGAGTGGCGGTACATCAAAGAGATTTCCGCACGAAACAACGCGTTGAAGTTGAAGCGGCCACACTACGTTTGTCTCAATGTGTGCGGTGAGCGCAACGGAGTCGCACGTAGGTATAACTATGATGAAAAAGTTAATAAGTTTCTTGAGATTCTGTTAACAGAGCCATGTTTGTGGGACCCGAGACTCAAAAGTTTTAAGAATCGTACATCACAAAATGATGCTTTGCGACGAATTATGCAACTATTACCATTTAAAACAACTATCGAAGAAATTAAAAAGAAGAACAACAAAGTTTTAACAAAGTTTAATTGTTGCAGTGCCATTTGTTAATTTAAGGGAAACCTGTTATTGGCATTACTACATAACACATAGTAATAAGATTATAATTTGTTAAGCTGTTGGTTTTCTTAATAAAAAAAGAAGGAAATCCTAACGTGTTTTTATAGAACCCATTTAAACAAATATAAAAAGTCTTCAAGTAACATTAACTCCAACTGTAACGCCGTTCAATAGCCATGAATTTGAAATTGAAATAACGTTGACCGTTCAAGTGTAGCCACTCACTTTATCGCGTTTTTATGGGCATTGACATTTCCTTTTAGTGTAACCACTCTTATTAGTTTGTGGTGTAACCCTAGCATTATAAATTTATTGTTTTATTGCCGTTCGTCAAGTATCCCACTTTACGATATGATTTGAATTACGATAGATTTTTATTAATTTATTTATTTAATTCCAATTTTTTTTATTTGTTGTAAAATATCAGTGCCATAGGCTTCTACTTCGTTCACATGTTACACCATATTTTTTCCAGACGGTAAAAAAGGTCATCCAGTATATATGCCACGACTGGAAACAGGCCTCTCATTTCTGAAGAATTTGTGGAACCATAAAAAGTATAAGTTCACTGTACTGTCGTCACACTACGTGTTGGTGGACTTTACATTTCCTCGGAAAAAAAAGCATTATTTAGGGTTCCGCAGTTAAACAACAAGGAACCCTTATAGCTTCGCCATGTCCGTCCGTCATTTCGCGGTTTTACTCAGAGACCCTAGGTGCTACAAATCTGTAATTTGGCATAATTATAGATAGTAATTACGCCTACAAAACTGTGAAATAAAATTTTGAAAACATTTTTATTTAGGGTGTACGGAGTCTCGTTAGACGTGTCTTTCAAAAACAATGTGGGTATGGAAAAACTTCTTATCGATTAAGGGGACGGTTTGCGAAATATTTAGCTTTAAAGTGATATTTCTCATTAGAGTCATGTGTCACCACCCTCTACCACCTAAACCGCTGTGTTTGGAAGTGTGAAAAGTATACACGATAGTAGTATATATAATGAAGTTAAAAGGAAAATTATCACAGCTAAGTAGAATTAACAAGTTAACGAGTAACTTACAAAATGCACTTGGACCAGTAAAAATTTCGTTATAATTTCATAAAAAATAACATTAAACTAGTTGTTAAGTTATAATACATTGTACTGTTTTTGTGAACTGTAAGAAATAAACCTTTTATGGAAAAAAAGACTTATAAGTATGCATTACTAATATAGCTTTATTTTTCCTATGCGGGATAGGTAGGGTAGATCTTTCTTACTTATTGTAGGCTTCATTCAAAGCCTTCTGGACAGCGACGTTACGATCATATATATCTTGGGTTGCACTGCCGGGGATATATAGATAGATCCCACTATGACCGACCATCTTTGTACGGACTTGGCATGTGAATGATTCGATGTAGATTGTATTATTATTCCAAATATAAAAGTTTTTCAATCTTTTGAATATCACTCGCTATAAGTCTCATTGGAAAATAAGTCCTTCAGTTACTATCGTCCTATTTAGGCCCATTTTTAGTCGTTATAGCGGTCAAACCGCGAACTCATCATCATCAAGAAATCTCATATTGTGCGTGACCCGACGCGCATTTGGTTTTTAAATTTTTTTTAGACATACAGTAGTTTTCCCCACAATGTTTTCCATGACCGTCGATTATGTGGTGAATTGGCATTAGCATTTTAAAACTGCTATTAGTAATTTTACTGGCGCTTCTGGAAAAGAACTTGGGTTTTCTAAGCACTATAAAATTTACGGCGAGCGTTTAGCCTCTAAGCTGCGACAGACTTAATATAATATAGCTAATATACTTTAATTATTAGTCCGTAAAAGCTATTATTCGGATTACTTCCAGTCATCAAATTTCACGAACGCACGCGACAAAACTCACGATACACAGTAGCTGGATGCTTGGCGGTCCACAACCACAGAGTAAGGAGTAAGGACGTTTCTTTACTAGGTCGGTTTATTAACTCATGTGCCACAACGGTGCGTTTTAATAGGAGTTTTCTCCATCGTGCGACCTGTTTGTGGAATCGCTTACCACCGGCAATGTTTCCGGGATCTTCAAGATAAGAGCTCACTCCTTTGATAAAGGCTGGCAACGTACCTGCAATTCCCCTGGTGTTGCAGTTGTTCTAGGGTGGCAGTAGTCACTTACCATCAAGTGAGCCGCATGCTCGTTCACACCCTCTTCTATAAAAAAAACTATTACCTTTGAAGCTACTTACCGTCGTCAATTGTTTGTCCTTACTTTCCCTCTCTGAAGTCAGAGAAGCCTGTGCCCAGCAGTGGGAAGTCATAATGTAAAAGCTGTCATAACTTTTATACCAACATTAACGAAAGAAAAAAGCTTTTTCTGGGTTTCAAGCTTATCCGCCTTCACTTACAACACCAAAGGTTGAAATGTGTTCTTTTAATCCGCCACCACAAGTCATGCTGATATTGTTTACTCACCAACAATTTTGATAAACTGTTTTGTACTGTCCAGCATGATATTCTCCATTTTTAGATCTCTGCAAACAAGCAAAAATATTTTCTTTATTACGTGTGGTATTTATGGACATTTATTTGGATAAAATGTGAGCTGGAATCTTTACTCTTTATGGTCGTCGCACACGGTCAGTTCAACTGATCATTCCAACTGATCACTTCAAATTAAACTGTTGATATTTTTTTAAATGTTGGATTTTCGATATACCGATAAATAAACTTATAGTACCTGGGTGACCGAGCTTTCCACGGTATTTTTTTTTTTGGTATCGTGTATTTTGGAAATTATATTTAGATACAAATTACATACTGATGAAACATGAATAATATTTTTGATCTTATTGACATATTAGAAAAAACTGAACTGGTTATTTGAACAAAAAATCATGAGTGCAATTAGTTTAATTGAAATTTTCGTATTTTTAAATGAATAAAATAAGGTTTCGAAATAATAGATTTTCTCACAAAAGAAGGGAACTTGAAAAAAAAGGATAAAAGTCGGATATACCTTTGAGCTATTACGATCGTTAACACAGTCTCAAAATTTACCTTCTTATATTGTAGCAGTTTTTCATTGCCTGAAAACATGGACAAAAGAACATTTTCTAAAAGTGAATCTTAGCTAGATCGATTTATTGCCTCTGAAATCCCCCCGGACACTAAGTTTTATGAAAATCGTTGAAGCCGTTTCCGAGATTACGATAATATATATAATTGAAAAGAATTGCTCGTTTAAAGATATAGAATATAAAACTCCGATATTGATATACAGAGTTAGTGTAAACACCGTTGTCCTTGAAACCAGTGGTTTGGTTTCACTTATAGAACGTAAATTCAATGAAAAATAACATTTTTTTTAGTAAAATCTCAATTTTTCCTTAATTCCTCAATTTTTGCCTGTCCTAAGCCAGGATGAAAGTATGAAGGAAAAGTTACATCACAGGTTATGTGTACCTATTGTGTTTTTATTGGAATATTGTGTAGGTAGCTAGCGTGGGTGTTGATCTTTACAGTGATTACGTCACTCGGGCGCATAGGGTATCCATGAATTTACGGACGGTGTCGGACAGAAACTTTTTAAATTTTATGAAAGTAAATAGCGTTTTTTAAAAGAAAATCAGATAAATATTTTTTATATTAAAGCTAACTACCTATGGTTTTAGTGACAACGGTGTTTACACTTACACCGTGTATTTACAGTTATCGATATATCAAAAATTCTATATTTAAAAAAATATCAACAGTTTCAGTTTGAAATGATCAATTGAAATGATCAGTTGAACTGACCGTGTGTGGCATCTATTACTTTCGACTTCAAATTAAGATGCATAATAAGAAGCGCAAAGGTTATTGAACTATGAACTAGAGACCGGCCCCGGGTTCGCCTGGGTAGGATCTACCAATGCGGCATTATTTAGATACACACCAAAGAAATGGTGCAGGTTCCTTATCGCCCCTGTTTTTAATTAGTCTCTTGGCTAATCTTTTTCGTACAGGTTTTTCCCGACCACACTTAAAAAATCTTTAGTTACTCCGGGTTATAAAAGTGGCAAAAGACACGATGTCAACAACTATACACCTATCTCAGTTCTTACATCTATTTCAAAAAATTTTGAAAAATTATTAAACATTCGTCTCATTAAGTATTTACCTAAATATAACATATTATCAAAAAATCAATTTGGATTTAGACAAAAAAATTCTACTGAACTAGTACTGCGTAAAAGTAAATACTAAATAAAAAGTAAATACTACTGCGATTTTGCCCTGATCGTTGCAAATGTTGATCATGGAAAAAAATGTATTACAATTTTTCTTAATTTAAAAAAGGCATTTGACACCGTCTCTCTCCACATTCCAGTTGCTAAACTGGAACATATCGGCATTCGTAACAAACCACTTGAATTTCTGAGGGACTATTTGCAAGGACGAACCCAGAGGGTTAAAATTTGAGACCACCAAAGCCAAGAATTGGATATTATTTACGGCGTACCACAGGGGAGTGTCTTAGGCTCTACTGTATTTTAATATATATATATATATATATTTTTATTTATATATCAATCAGCAGCCGGGCTAGCATGAGCAGGGGATAAAAATTTTATCCACCGATTATATCCACTGACAAGGGATAAAATTGTCTTATCCCTATGTCAAAGCTTTATCCACCCTGCGAGCATGGGCCTATGGTGGATATAATATCGACAGTAGATAAACTTATCCCCGCGCATAGATTAATATACCATAGTATAAAGCTATAAACTATACTAGCTATAAACTAGTTTTAAGATTAAGTAGATTTACATTAACTTATATTTTCTTTTACCTTTTGTTTATTATATTGCTAAACTGTTCATAATTTCTGTTAAACAATATGTCATTTATAATATTTGTTATATTTATTTTAAGCGTATTTCTGCCTTGTTTTTATTTTTTCTATTATTCTAATTCTTTCTTTATTTTCTTTTGTATAATATTTAAGTTAAATATACATTGCTTGTATCAAATCGCAGGTATTACTTCGCTTGTGATACATTTGTACACATTTATTAAAAAATATGTGTTTAGAATTAAGCCAATTGTGAAACTGGACAATACAGACCCTTTGGAGGTGGTGTAACCTCTTGAAGAAATTAAAAAAAATATATCCCCGCAATTACTGCCATTATAAGAAAATTACAAAATACATCAAAATTGATGTCTACTCTAAGTCATAAAGATTTAATTTTAATTGAAAATGATGAAGCATGAAGAATAAAAATGTAATCATTTCAAACAAAACAAGGAATAAATAATTTTATAATCATGAGTATAGTATATTTAGCAAGCTTTGCTAAAGAATTAACATATTTCTTAATTTAAACCTTTGAATTGTAACTTTACTAAGTTTGAAAACTTTATTTTAAAACGTTATAATACTTACCTAAAATATAGTATACCTAGACCGATTCTATTATCCGATTCCATCATTAAATTTGACTTGACCATGGACTCGCTTTGGATATTGTTGACACAACCTATGTAATTAAATAATGGCATTGAGCTATTACCGGTAGTACCGGTAGGCGTAGTGTAGGGTGACCCCCCACTAGATGGAGTGACGACCTGGTAAGACATGCAGGAAGTCGATTAATGCAGGTGGCTCAGGACCGTGCTTTGTGGCATTACTTGGGGAAGGCCTATGTTCAGCAGTGGACTTGTGAGGGCTGTAGTGATGATGATGATGATGATGATTGAGCTATTGAGACTTTTTTGGTTAAGGTGGTTGTAATAGATGCTTACTTCAATATGCACTGGTAGTCGATCCACAGAATTAATAGGCTTTAAAGCCTCATAGAGTTCTTTACACAAATACAAAACAATCTTTAAGCATCCGAAACCGGCGTAGAAATTCGTTGTCGGAGAATTCCAATAGATTAAGTATTCTGATCACGTATCGATCGCTGATGTAATTCTCTTTCTTGTTTTTCAATTTCTGACACGAAAATGTAGTTGCAATAGGCTCGAGACATCTTTTTTGTATTAAAATGGTATGAAGATAAACTTAAACCCACGTCCGCGAAAGAGGATAAAATTGTCCCTTTCAAATGTCAAAAAGGGATAATTTTTTTCTCTTTCCCTTGGCCCCATGCTACGGACGGGGAGATATATGTCCACTCGTTATGTCAAACGGGGATATACTATAGAGATAAGATAATTTTACCTCTCGTCAGTGGATATAATCGGGGGATATAATTTTTGTCTCTTGCCCATGCTCGCAGGGTGGATAAAACTAAGCAAGGGATAAAAATTATATCCTCTCTCCGGGGATATATTCTCTCCGGCTCATGCTAGCCCGGCAGAATTGAATATTGAAGGTGGCCACGTCCTTTCGTACGCCGATGACACTGCTACTGTGGTTACTGATAGTACTACGGAGGATAGTACACGGAGGATGAAGACTAAGGTGACTGTGATGATGTCACCTTCCTTATAATTGACTCAGAAGATGGGTAAAGGATCTTAGTGATGCTACGTAGAACAATCGTGTTTTATTTTCAACTTATTTTCAAAAAGGTTCATGAAGACTGACTATGATGATATCACCTAGCTGATGGTGGACTCCGAAGGTGGATGTAGGATCTGTGACGCCACTAGATAGGACGATCGTGTTTGAACTCATTTGAAAGGGCACATAAAGACCTAGGTGACTATTATGATCTCACCTTTCTGATGGTGCAATACGAAGGTGGATATAGGATCTCAGTGACGCTACTAGATAGGACAATCATACGATATCTTAAAAAATATCACAGTCCTAGTTTGGACTGATCAGTTGGAATGATCAGTTGCAATTATCGTGTGTGTGGAAATTTCTTTGGCTTAAATCCGTTCAAACTGATATCAGTTCGACTGATGACTAACTGACCGTGTGTGGCCACCATAAACGAAAGCGCAATATTAGCGTTGCCGTTCACACGTTTTATGTCTGTGACTACCGCGTGCGTTTGTGTATGCCTTATACCTACTATTACGACGTTTGCTAAAAAATAAACCAAGCTATGAAATGCATACCATTTCTGGTTTATTTATTTTTTCGAAAATATTTTTTTTAGAATAAATAAATATAACACATTAACATTATTATTACAGACTATAATAAGTTTGACTAGTCAGTATCGTAGTGACTACGTTTAGCTGCGGGGCACTTTAGGAAGCAATTTAGACATCTAAAAAGAAATTGTTACGAGTCTGGGTCATTGTACCTTATATTATAATAAACAAATATTTTTTTTTAATTATATAGTTTTACTAACCTATGCACAACGCCTCTGGCATGCATGTGCTTCACTGCAGAAACCAGCTGCGCTGCTAATGCTCGCGCCCTTCCTTCCGGCAAGCCTCGCGTCGTACCGCCACCGCGACTCGACAGCACGTGGGCGCATAGGTCTCCGCCACCTGCAGCCTCCATCACCACGTACAACCGTGGCCCGTGCTGGGGACATCGCGCCATTATTGTCACACTTATACATTATGAGTCAATGTTGTACACGCTGCATCAAAACACAATTGTTGGAACGATAACTTATTTAAATTAAATATTTACACCTTTATTTCAATACCTTTAAAACAGAAGGTATGACAGTCAGTGTATGCATATTTTTAATAAAGCTTTCTGCTTAAGTAATGGAAATGTAAGTTGATGTTCATATTTGCATTAACAGAACACTAAAAGCAATAATCAAGGATTCAAACTTTGTTTATCAATGCTTTCATGGTTTGACGTAAATTTTGAAATAACTAGACATTGATGTATCTTATAGATTGGCTTTTACATTGGTATAGAGACTAAAGGGATAGGTTAAACACATTGGGACTTTAACAATTGCACAGTAGCGTTAAAGTACGTCTAAATGACTACAAATTTAGAACCTTATACGTGTTAGAGCCACGCTGCAACTATACTATGGTTGTAGTACGAATAGTTAGCTCAACCAGGGTAGGACTACGCTCCCACAGCATATCAGTGTATAATAGCAGCTCAATGCTGCAAAATCATTTGATCTCAGTCCTCAAGGGTAACAACGCATCTGCATTTTGATTTTTAAATGAGAATAGATGTAGATGTGCGTGGGCCACAGCTTTCACTTACCATTAGGTGGACTGTGTGCTTGTTTGTCACCCTTGTTATATAAATAAAAAAACCTAACCTTCTGTAGGCAGACAAGGTTCACTCTGCGAGTCATCGGTTTTTTGTGGAGAATTTGCGTACGTAGCTTGCAAACTATACCAGTAGGTATTATGTATCTTGCACATAGTATATTATACGTGTGTGTGTATGTAGCATACGTGTTTTTTGTACGATGTATAACTTTTTTATAGTATAAAGCATGTGAAGTTATCTTAGCTTCTGCTAAAAGAAGAGAACTTCCAATGATATAGAGAGAAAGCGACGCGCATTGGCGGTTCGATGCAATATGCTTGCCCGCAGGTTTGCTAGGGGTACAGATGACATAAAACCCTTTTCAAGGCGTACTGTCAAACATTTTACACCTGCAGCCTGTGGTGTGACTACACGCAGAGGACCTACAATGCGCTTCGAATTCAGTATAATAATGCCTTCAGGATGCTAATGGGCCTTCCTAGACACTGTAGTGCTTCAAGCATGTTTGCTGAAACAGGTGTTGATGATTTTTATAGCATCTAAGAAAGCGAACTGCGTCAATGTTATGTAGAATACGGAAGAGCTCAAATGGTATCTTGAGGATATTTCAAGATAGGCTTGACAGTCCTATTCAGAGGCACTGGATCCTAATGCATGTGGGAGGGACATTCAAGTTTCTAAAATGATTGCTCTCTTTCTACAGATATAATTTATTTTATTCTTATTTTATTATTGTATTTTTTTACTAACATAGTTTATGTAAATTAGCACAAAAATGTGTATGGATATGTATATCTGAAATAAACATTATTATTATTATATACCATCATAGTTTCGTATAGAGCAGCAATACATGGGTGGCGCAGTTTTGACATTACTCTTGGCTCCCGGTGTAAATTACGACGAGCGTATTCCTCTTTTATGCAAGTAAGGTCGATTATTTTGATGGCAACCTGAAAAAATAATTTTAAATATAGTTAACTTGTGCTAGTAGAAAATATAAAAGTCGTACATTATGTGTTTTTGTTAGGGAACATGGGTTAAAGTGTGAAGTTGCTGTTTCTCTCCTTGCATTAAAATTAAAATTGCATGGTCCAAGATTCGTAATTAAAAAAAAATTACACAAAAACTACCTATATTTTGCTCTAACCTAATTCAACTGTTTTTTTTTTGTATTTCTATGTAACGCGATATTAAATTACATTTGTGAATTGTAAACCGCTTTAAACGAAATAGATTATACTTCTGACCTCAACTCAACTACTTTTTTATGACAGCAATATCGCTAAGCTAGTAATCGCTAATGACCTGTGCAGAACAGAGGAGTGCGCGGGAAATTTAAGTTTATATTTAGTTTGAAACAGTTTGCGAGTTATTTTATTAGTTGATATTATTGATTGGTCAGTTTGATAGGGCAAGCCCGGCTTCTCGGCTTCTTTGGAGGTTTCGCCACTACTTCGGAGGGGGTCAAATATAAAGAAGAAAAAATAAGAATTAAGGAAGTAGAAGATAACGTTCTTAATCTGTCTATTAAGACGACATTTAAAAGTGACATTTTAAAGTGTAAAGCGACGTCAAAGAACTAAAAAAAGATACAATAATTACCACATAAAGCTTCGGAAGTTGGGGTTTTAATTCTTTGTCTTAGAACCAACTTCTCTAGCTAATTTGTGAAAACTATTGTAAGCTCTTTAGAATACGATTTTAATTTTTATTTAAAGTGTTCCTTTGTGTACCGACCTCCTGTGTGAGAAGAAGGGGGTTCTGGCGGCGCTGTCGTCACGCCACAAGCGAAACACATCGAAGTCTAAATCGTGCTATCAAAGTACCGAAGTAAAAACAGTATATATAGAATAGGTCCAAACTATCACACGGAGCGTTGGCCGCTCCCCGGGTAGAACACCTTGCCTGGCGGGACATCTCCCCTTTTCCTTCCACGGCCACAGATTAAGAGTACTCCAGACAGAATTTCGGTAACGGCCCGGCAGCCGGTCTCAACGGGAACTAGCCATCTGCGCAGGACAGGATTATAGTGCCCAAGTGTGGCGCGAGCAAAGTGCATTCCTTTTTTCCTCACTCTCATAGTCCGGTCCGGTATGACGGTTACCCGACACGACCGGAGAAAGCTCAGGTGCAGAATCAAAGTCTTTATGTGCTTTGCGAGGTACGGGGTGAAACACCGCCAACTTTCTGATCCCAGGCTGCTACTTAGAATTTCTTAACAGAAAAACCCAATTACTGAGTTTAGATCGACTCGGAATTCAAACCCGAGATATCATGATCACGGATCACGTTTACGACCACTAGATCAACGAAGCTGTCATCAATAGGTATCTAATGGTCAAAACCGATCTTTGTCAAACAACCCCACAATATTGACTATTTTATTTTACCAATTTGGTAAAATAAATAAAACTCGCGAAATCTGGTGCTTATTCCATCTAATATAAGGTACGCGTTGCAGCTTGACTTGCTTTGATTAGTAGGTAAAAAATGAAGTTTGGACAGAATAGTGACGTATGATAAAGTGGATTTTCGTATTATGAAGTAGACGTCAAGTACTGATTTTTTAATATAACTACAGATTTTTTTAATATTGTTTTCTACAATTTAGGAGGTCTGTCAGGGTTAGGCTCGAACATTTTACACTGTTTTTGGATTTCGGAAATGTCTTAAATTTCACTAGAAAATTGCATATAACGAAACGCAAATACATATGTCAATTTGTTTTTTAACACAGATACACTCATAAAAAAGTTAATCACTCGGACCCAGACAATACATTTGTGGCTGAAGACAGGACTTGTACAAATTGAATCGCAGTGGAGAGCAGTCAAGAGGTTTTTTAGAAAACAAAAGTATAACAATTCAAAATACATTATTTCATTTAACACTATCATAGCAGTGTTTAGGGCAACCTGACTGTATAGATAAGATTGGTAAAATCTGTTCTAAAACCAAAACAGCATGCCCCGACTCCACGTGTACTATTATTTATTCTGTGACGTAGTCTTGTTCACCCTGCCCCTGGAGTGTTTTTGTAAAGCCGTAGGCGCGGAGGGAGAGCAGCCATAACAAATTGCATGCACCCGTGAGAGCTGTAGCGGCTGAGGCCTGTCTCCGAAGGCGACCAATAAGCCAAAGCGGCGGAGATGAGCATAGGTGCTTGCAATTTGTTACGCAAGGGCAAAGCACACTCCGCTGCGCCGAAGCAGTTGCAGAAGTAACTTTGGGTTAACACTCCTGTGTAAAACCTGAGGTTATGATTTTACAAAAAAAATAATTACTCATAAACTATACATTTCCCCAAGGGGGAAGGGTAGGGCAGCATGCCCTAAACCGTCCCACTCCCTTCACCCTCCTCCCACTCCCGTACGCGAGTACCGGATGTCTATACCGGAACAATTAATGTAAAGGTCGGCCATAGAAAATTGCTTGGTGGTCACTTCATGGTGAATCCACGATAGCTCAGATAGCATAGATCGATGTATCAATACCAATAGATGTCTATTGTGATGAGCTTCGAACAATGATGACGAAACTCTCAAAGGATGACCACGATCCGTCAATAAACCTCAGTGCTAGATGACGTATCAACATTACAAGATCTGCAGTTCGACACCACACGTCATCCTCTAAGTTCAGCAGACTCAGCCGCGAACGATCACCATTTTCTCCGTAATTTAGATAATAGGTATATTGCAAGGAAAAAATTGTTTTCAGAAAGTGGTACAAAATGCCGTCATATATTTTGTGGAGTCCACATCCCCAGAGCTGTATGAGAAAGCCATAAATGATCTTTCCATAATATGACAGAAGTGTATAAATAACGAGGATATAATTCAATATAAACATATTATTTCTTAAAGAAAGGTGCTTTAATTTTATTATAAATGTAATTGAATTTGATTAAATAAGATTATTTTAAGTATTGCAACATTGATTATTAATAACGAGCGAAATAAACGTTCATTTCGTATCCAAAATGATATAACCGAGACATATATGTTGTACATGGACGTATAAAAAAAGGATACTTACCTTTTTTCCTATTATTCGGTGCGTTGCCTCCTCAACTCTCGCGAAGTGTCCCTTTCCTAAAATCTTTCCAGTCATAAGGTAATTACCAACACTGTACACTTGGCCCTTCCGTGGTACGTTTGCCATTTTCATATTTTTATATCACAAAATATTTGGAAGCATTGTGCGTTCATAAATATTTAAACGCAAGTGTATTCATAAATCTATTTTATATTTTTACACTAATATTAAATAGATCGATGCGCTTTGTAAAAGTCATAATACATGTCACTATCGATTGTTTGTTGATTGAAATTGGAACGGTATTT